GCCATTGATGCCAGTCAAGGTCAGGATTCAAACCCAAGAAACCGGTTTTGTAGTGTAGCGCGCTAATTACCGCACCGCCCTTGCCACACGCACACATGCTCGTACAGCGCAGGACGTCCATATGGCTTTTTTTTGAGTCGCTGTAGGTGGCTACATGTTTTGCTTTTAAAAGCCGAGCCTGCTCTTTGCGAGCAATTTCACAGATCATTTCCCCATTCTTTGAGCGTCATACACACGGGAGTGGTGTTCAATCACTGCGTCCGTGTTTTATTTGGAACACGCCCTCGTGAAAATGTCTCGGCAGTCGGATTGAAGGATAAGGTTTGGATATGAACGCCTAATAATGTGTATGAGAGTAAAGGTCGACTTGGCACCAACGCTCATTGCAAAGCAGACAAAGCCTAAATTTTTCAAGGTGCAACAATGAGCTTGATTAATTTTTCACAGTATATTCCCCCCTTCCCCCCGCTCCATCTACTCTCTTACTTAAGTTCTTGCCTCTCCCTCCCCTCCCCACATAAAAGTACACAAACCTCGCTCATGGTCCCCACTCGGAGGGGCAGCAGCGATCTCAATCTCGTCCCTCCTCGAAATCCAGGAACACGGCGTTCGTGACTTTTGTCCACGGAGTTTATGTATCTCTGCATACTCTGCTCACACCCCCCTACCCCCCCAACGTTCGTGCTCTGTACCGGGCTCCTACTGAAATATATATTTTTTAATGTATTCGCGCGCCCCCTTGCCTGATGCAATACGCCGACACGAGAGGCACGGAGATTTCAACCGTGACCAGGGATTGATGGGATTCGATTCAATTAAATAATCCTTTGATTTTCATCCAATTAACCACCCCCCCAGCAACCTCATCTCGTATTTATTGTTTCATGGGTTTTTTTTAACGCCTTATTTGTACCGTTTTGTTTACTCCCGTTAGACTAGATGCAACGCTAGCTTATGCATGTGCGTGTGTGATTTGCGTTAGCATATCATTTGCTGGTGAGATTGACCATGATGACGATCGTCGCTTATCGCCTGTACACTTTTCTGAGACGCCCAATGAGCATATACGTCTTTATTTGCAAGAAATGCCTGCCTATAATAAACATACAATGTGCTTTTGGCACGCACAGGAAACAAAAGTTTTGGTTCTGGGCTGAAAAATAATCGTGTAGGTTTTTTTAAATTTTCTGAAATGGTGTTAAACAACCCAAAAAAAAACCAGAAACCTGTGAGTAAAAAAATAATAATTTAAAACAGCGCGAGGAAATAAAAAAAAACCCCCATTAAAAATTTTTGATTCGACCAAAAATCGTAAAAAAAAATGTTGAAAAAAAAACCAGGCACCTTAATCGCAGAAAATAAATGCGGGTGGGGGGGGGGGGGGGGGGGGGGAAAGGGCCCCTCAAGAACACCGAGCCCTGTGTTGCGCTCTCGGCTTCTGGTTTTCATTGCCGTGGGCGCGGTGCGGGCGCAGCGGCTGGCAAACGCCATCGCTCGCCAGGCTCGGGTTCGCTGCCCCGTTGTCAGTCTCGCGCCCGTACGCTCGTCTCCTTCGATCGACCCAGGCGTATCTCGTCTGGAACTTGACGTCGCTGCTGACGCCAGAGTACCGTGTCTCTTGCGAGTTATTAACTACTTCGCCTGGTATGCAAGAGGTCGTGGGTTCGATCTCGATCCTGACGCCGGCTGTATATTTGGAGTTTGCGTGTCTCTCTCGCCGTGGTCATGTGGATTTTTCTCCGGGTCGTCCGGTTTTTCCCTCCGCATTTAGAACATTTGACTGTTACACATTTCCACATTATAAGCCACTGCGTTGAGCTATAATTTATGGCCAGGTCGCTTCTGAATAAAGAGCCGTATAGCTCAGTGGGCCCTACCTGCTCAGCCCGTATATATTAATCCACTGGTGGATAAGTGCATCTCCACACCATGCGGATCGTGGGGGGAGGGGGCATTTGACCGGACTTCCCAATGCTAAATGGCGCGAGGAACATAGATATTGGAGCATAGTGCAGTACAACTGATTTTGCTGCACTGCCCTCTGCTGACAATATAGTACTGCAGCATTTATGTTCCTGGTCACCCATTAAAGCACTATCCAGGCTCAATTCTACTTAGCTTACGAGGTGATGAGGATGCTGATGATGATGATGAATAATGACGATCGTTGCAGCACACGATGGGCGAGGAGGGCGAGGTCATCAGGCTGCACCTGTCATCTGACCCGGGGAGCACTTACTACGCCCTTGTGACCTGGAAGAAGAACAGCCATCAGGGATTGAACCTGAGCCTCACCGACTGCCGGACGGCCTGGACAGGGGAAGGTTCGGCCTCACCGCTTGATGTTTGCGCATCTCCTCCTTCGCTCCCTAACGCAGCGATCGATCGCCACACGGACGCAATTATGCCACCCGTCACGATTGCGTGCCGACAAAACCCACCGATTTAACATCGGTGTCTTTCCCTGCAAGAGCAGCATCGACCCAGCTTGTATGGGAACATCCTTTTTGTCTTTTAGCTAAGCTCACCTGTGTGGTTTGCAAGCAGCTCATGTCCCCATGGCGAGTACGGTGCACGTTTTCGGAAGTGTCCCAACCATGCCACCTGTGGATGTTTCAGGACTACGGTAACGTTTCCCGTACTGACTAGTTAATCAACCAACAAGCTGACAAGCAACCCTGTAAAGAGGGCCTCTTGCTTAGTCATTGCATTTAACTGCAGAAAGAAATGTGCGCCTAGGAAAATACACTGACACGCCCGGAAACATCCATATCACAAACAGATAGCTTATTAATCTGCTCATTACCCACAACAACATCGGAGAAGACCATCTCGTTATAACTACAATAACCTCTGCCTCGCTTACTGCAGAGACAGCAGTGCAGTGGGGCTCTCGTTCGTGCCATTCGACAATTGACTCGGGTGTCGAACCGTCGGAAGTGATCGAGTGCTCGTCGGTGGTGCGCAATCCGCAGTGACCAGCTCCAAACTGGAGGAGGAGGCGTCGGAAGCCGGGCTGTCGCTCGTTGACTACGTCGCTGAGCTCCGGGCCGCCCTCCTGGGCCACTGCTGGGACTCGTCCTCCAACGGAGACCTCTTCCGCTACGACCTGAAGCCCCCCGCCAGCCCCGGGCGCGCTCGCCGCAGGTGTTTCTCCATCTGCAAAGTGCACAGCGACGTCACGGTGAGGCTCGCGCGTTGAGCGTTGCGATTTTTGGGGAATGTTCAGGATAATTTTTGTTGACGGTAGCGGGGGGGGGGGAGCTTCTCCGTTGGCACCTCGGAAACTCCGAGCGTAATTCCCCACCCCCTCCCCTTTGCTCTTGTAACCAAGGAGATTATTACTTTGTTTTGCTAGATTTTGAACCTGCATTTCAGATGCTTTAAAGATGCGGTTAATCGTTAAGAGTTATCGGCTACCTGGTTTTTACTTGGGCATATTACGTCAGCCAATTTAGGACTGCAATTTCAGATAATATTTTCCCCGCCTTTCTTGCTGGGTGACAAATAGTCGTAAAATACCACGCGTGTTGGAAAGTTCCCGATCACACGTACTTATCCAAGATGGGATGGTGGTGATGGTGCACGCGGATTCGTGCACGCGCCATCGATCTATTCCATAACTAAGCCAAATCTTCGAAACATATAATTAATCATCTTCAAAGTGACACCCCGGACGTATTGCTGGAATGATTTTTTAATATATTTACAGAAAGTCTTCGCTTAACGCAGGAGATGCGTTCCTGAAAGTGCCGTGTTAAGCGACAAACATGTTGAGAGAACACTATTTCCCCATAAATAACGTGACGACAACGTTTGGCGAGATGGCGGGACAAATAACTGAGTGTACGCCGCCGCGGTTCCGTGTCATTCATCGTGCTCTATGACTCCGCTCAGCCGTGCAGCTCAAGAAAGTGGTTCGCCGTCGACCGCTCGGTAACCGCGTTATAACGGTGCGCGTTCCACGTTTTGCGAAGACTGTTCCCGAATGGAAGAACCGCGTTAGAGTGAAAGAGCATTGTAGTGTAAGCACTGCTACGCGTTCAGCGAGGACTTACCGTACACTTCTCTGTGCCGGTGGGAATTGGTGCGCGGCCGACTGTGGCAGCTCCTGGCGCTTGATGAATGGCCTCTAAAAATGCCAACACGTAAGCCCCCCGAAGCCTCTCTTTGTTTCAGGCGCCGGGCTTCGCATGTTCTGTGTTGACTATCGGTACGTTTTTGGCACGGTAGGAAGGTGCGTTTTTAAAAGTTGATCATTATACATTTTTCTTACAGGGTCTTTGTTATGACAGTTGTTTCAACTTATCCACTTTTCTTCCCTTTTCGATAATTGTTTTGTTGTCCTGACCAATCGTCTTGGGGGCAGTGGCTATTATCACTGGCTAGCGACATCTGAACCCTGTACCATCAACCCGCACTGACCACGTGTCACACAACAGGTGATGTACCCACCATAGGTAGGTGTCTATAGAACGAGACCTGCTGGTCTTTTTTGAGTTGAATCTCCCTTTAGAATCAGAATCTTTATTTAAACTGGAGGACTCCAATGAGCTATCAAGCTCTCTTTCACAGATGTCCAGCAGGGATCGGTCAGAATGTTCCAACAACAAACAATACAAATTCACGATAGGAGTGCAAACTATAGGTAATGTAAACAAATCACTTAAAGAGTGTATACAAATAAAACTAAACTCTTTTTACCTTACCATGTAACGCCCACTGAGCTATTAGCTTATTTTGCAGACGCAACCTGGCCACAAATGATAGCTCAACGAAGTGGCTTATCACGTGGACATTTATAGCAGCAAAATAATCTTAAATAATCGAAATGCATGTTGATTCCAAATGTGGAGTGACAAACCGGAGGACCCGGAGAAAAATAATCCACACGACCACGAGGAGAGAGACATGCAAACTCCAAATATCCAAGCGTCAGGGTCGGGATCGATCCCCCAACCTCAATGAAGTGGCATGTCGCAACGCATCTCTACGTTACGCTCGGGTCAGCCGATGCCACCCTACACGTACAGACGAGACAACGGGTGGCTTAAATTAGGGTTGCTTTCCTCTGGCATTGCTTCCCACTGCTCCAGTAACAGCAGCTCACGAGTCGAACATCAAAGCGTTCCCTTTTTCAAATTAGTGGTGGGCGGTGTTCATCTTCGTTGGTGGTCCCTCGTCCAGTGGTGTTAAATTCCACATCCCTATGGCAGGGTCCAGTCGCTTCATAGCAGAGCTACTGACTTCCCACCAACTACTGCTGCCTCAGCAGGTGGTACTTATTTTACCCACCACAGAGGAATGACGATGATGATGAACATTTCTATGAAATCTCCCTACTGTTCTCTCATACGGGGTAATGCTCTTCCCCCCACGAGACTTTCGAAATTTGCAATATAATGGTAATATACGCAGCGGCGTATCGATCAATGACGATGGCGAAGACGAACATCATGTCGATGACGGTGACGCCCGATGACAAACTTGCACACCCTCGCGATCACGAACGCAGATTTTCTTACCACGATGGCGACCGCTGGGCACGTCAAACACTCATGGCGTGGCTCACTATCGCCGGAGAATCGGGAGGAGGAGGAGGAGAAGACACAGGTGCGACGGGAGGGGCATCCCCCGAGCCTTGTTCACATATTTGTTTCGGCCAGGATCGGGCTGGCCCGGCAGGAAATTTGCGTCCAGGATTGTTTGTTTGCCTTGGTATGTGCAGACAGAAAAGAGCCTCCAAACAGACGGGTTAAGAAAAAGGGGGTTAAGAAAAAAGGGGGGAACAAAAAAAACCCACTGCTACAGGCAAGTGCCTGTCCTCTCGTATTTACCCTGCTTCCGTTGTATTTGCAGTCAATACACAATGGCCGTGTTGATGGTGTGCATTCTGCGGGTTTGTGTGGCCGGGAGCCGATGGTCCCCTCCCGTCCACGCCCGCCCAACGACGCCACCCAACCCCAATGGGCCCTCCGCTGTCCAAACAGCTGTCTGTGGTGGTGGCTCGCTGGCGATGGGCGGCAATCGCCTGTGGGGGGGAGGACACCTGAGCAAATATCGGGTATTGTGTGTCACCGTGCGAGCGATTGCCAAGGGATCCCCACTGAGAAACACAAAAAAAAATACTTTGGCGGAGGAGTTGAGCACTAATTTTGGGGCGGTGGTGTAAATTTGCCTGGCCCGTTTCCAAGGGCCTGGCCGGACCGTAAAACTGTCTCGACTGGATTTGTGACGCGGCCTTAATGATGGACCACGAAGCACACTGCATAGTCTGAAACTGCCGCTAAAACAATGCCTGCCCTTGTTTGATTTTTTTGCTTTAATTAATGATTTCCTTTACATTTTTTATGTTGCGCGAATTTTCGCACAATTGCTTGCACACAACAACTGCGTGTATTGTTAAAAAAAAAATAGCCAGCCTAGCAGGTTTTTTTTCTAGTGGTCCTGAGCCGCAACTTGAAGCCAAGTTTTCAGCCACCTTTACAGCTGTGGCCCACACTGAATTCATCTGGGTGGCTCAGTGCTGAGACATTCCATGTTTTAGACTTACATTTTGGCTTTCGTCTGGGCTGTCATTTTCCAGCCAAATATTTTAGGTGTTTACGTTGTCCGTCGTGCATGCTCGCGCGCGTGTATGTGTGTGCGCTCGCGTGTGCACAACAGTGTGTTTCTCTTCAGAAAAAAAAAACTAAACAAATGTAATTCATCAGAATTGTCACTGGAAGAATTAACCAGACCTGGGAATGCAATTCGGTGATCAACGTGTGCACGTGTAGCTTGGGGTCGGCGTGCTCGCAGATATTGGTTTAGTTGTCGTTGTTGTTGCCCTTCGTAGTTTCAAACAATAGTTTGAAACATATTTTGTGAATTTGTATCTCCGCTGCTGAATGGAAGATGTGAAAGTGGTTAGGAGGGGGACAGCAGCAGTTGCTTACAGACTGTGATGGGCACATGTCATGGTTTAAACCGGGTTCTCAAGTGCGGGGAACTCATTGTGCGAGTCCAGTCACCATCATTGCGCAAAAAAATTAAACCGTTAAATTACATTTTTCACTTAGTTTGGCATATTCCAATCTCTGAGAGTTAAACATTGTACTTTTTATCAACTCGAAGCCCTTGCAACATAGTGCAATCGTTCTAGATTTGAAGTTTTCGTGACTGCAAGGATTCATACTCTGTTTTTTTTCGGTGACTTTACCGAAAAAAACCAAAGAGTATTGTGCAATCGCCCCGTGTTAAAGAGTGGTCTTCGGAAGGTGATGTCATAGAACTACGTCTGAGATCCCTTCTAGTGACCTCTTATCCACACAAGGGATCCCACACTTTCCCACGCGCCCTGCTATGCAGATGTTTGTTGCTTGTTGATCAAACAAAAACCACGTGTCTTTTTTTTATTCTCACGGCTGGAATATTTGCCAAATTAAGCAACAGCAGAAAAATCTCAAACGTAAATACGATGGGCGGTTTTGGTCTAGTCGTCGGTGATTAGTCTGCGATCATTCGTTGCTTCCGCTCTAGCAAATCAGTTTGATCAGGAAACCTAGCCGAGAACGCAGGATGATGGCGGCGCCGGCCCAGCGCTCGGTTTGCCCGAGCCACCTGGCCACCTTCTACGAGCGCTTTTGTTTTCTCTAGGTCGCTCTTTCGTGAACGGAGCGATGATGAGAGAGAGATGCAACGGATGCAAAGATCGAAATCGCGCTCTCCTCGCCGTGGTTTGTCCCCGAGGACTGCTTGAAGCTCGGCAGTCAGACAGAGACCCCACATGCCGCCTTGCAAAATCTTGGCCCATGCTTGGATTTTAATTGCCATCTTTAGACTCAAGGCTTGTGTCATGTGGCTGCTGGCACGGAGTAATATTGCGGGCTTGATTTTTTGCGCGTGCGCGCGCGTATGTGTACGTGCCTGCTAAAGTTAACTTTAGTCTTGCTTTTTTTGGATGCGGACTTGTGTCTTTGTTTGTCTGCCTTTGTACTATGACATCTGGTTGCTGATCCCTGCATTGCAGTCTTGTCAGTATCTTTGTTTCGTCTGCTTGCATCATTAATCCTTTGAAGATCCTCGCTCCGGTATAACCAAATCGTAAATCAAACTCTGCGGAGGCAAGGAGCATTGAACTCCGGCTGAAACTACGTGGGGTCCAAATCCGTACATCCCTAAGGCGCATGCTTTGCAGGGTTGTGAAACGATATCCGCTAAGCTGGTAACCGTTTTCAGAATCGAGTGCACCGATTGACACGCGCAGAACGTTCAAACGGCACGACGGCCCAAGCCATTGCGCGGAACATTTGGCGTTTCTCAGTTAAACGGAAAAGGTGCAGCCTTGCAATTACTCGCTTGCTTACTTGCGCCACTGCCGTTTTTTTTGTACTTTGATAATAAATGAAAACCTCGATATTTCAAGAGCCGCCAATGCAACGTGAATGCGAGACGGTGGTCCGAAATAAATAACGCCACAAGGCAGGAGTCCTTGAAGAGCCGCATGCTGCTCCACATCCGCAGGTTGCCGAGCCCCAAGCTGTGGTGTGTAAGGCTGTGGGACATGATCCCTGGAACTATTACAGATGTTGTGTGTTTTTTTTTCTTGTGCAGTCACCTAGTTTTTACTGCCCATTGCTCAGCTAATATAGATGATATTCGTGACTCATCAACATAGCTGGCTGCTGACTGGATCTGCTGATTGCCGCCATTATTTACTCACGTAATACAACATATGACATCAGGAACAGTAAATTGGTGGTGGTGGTGGTGTACAAAATAATGTTTGAGGATTCACAGAGTTCCGTGAGTCGAGAAAGTTTGGGAACCAATAGTCTCTGCTGAAATACATGCATGCACATCTATACGCGTGTGTGTGTGTGCGCGTGTGTATGCACCGTGTGTATATATGTCTGAGCATTTCACAAAGTGTAGGTAGTCACGCTGAAACTTTGTAGACTGCAGAGCTGATTCGTAGGCTCAGGCTGTTTACCGACTTTACATTGCCACACCGCGGCCATACAAATAAAGTCACAGATTAGAAACCTGTGCTCAGAGTGATGATATGTCGTCTATATTACGCCGTTGGTATCCATCTTTTTACAGCAAGGCCTCGCTCAATATCCTGCATCACGACGTTTGGCCAGTTTCATTTTAAGGGGCGTTTTACAAGGTTATCACATGCTGCGGTCCAGGGAGATGAGATCACGATCCCATTTCCTCCACTGCCATCGCTTGGCCACCTTCGCAGGCCTGTGAGAATTTTGTACCTAATCTGGCCCAGTGGCACAGTAATCACAGTACATGGCTCGCAGTTGGAAAGTTGCGAGTTCACATCCCACTCTAGGGTTTTTACTCGGTTATTAACTGGTAAATGCTGGCTGGCCATTGTGTTCCATTGTCTTTACCCCAACTCCACGTTTTGAAAATTAACCATAATTATTGTGCAGGTATTTTGAAAACTCGAGAGAGAAAATTATATCAGTGGCTCTTGCATGGTTATGCAAAGGGCAGTGAAATGATGCAATTGATTTGGTCATTGTTTGCTGACAAAGCTGGATGTGAATTCTGTTTTCTAAATTCTTGTACCGTATGCATGTTTTGTTTATCATGGCTTTTGTTTAGATTGATCGTAGTGTTGTAATGGAGATGTTTAATGTGTTTGCTTCACGTGTGCCTTACAGCTTTCATGTTAGCGCGTGTATTTAAAAATGCGCTACGGAAACAAACTTCAATCGACTGATTTTTTGTTTTGTTTGTGTGTGTGTGTGCGTGCACGCACGCACGTGTGTGTGTGTGAGTGAGCTATATGAGGAGCGGTAGTGTCGCGGTTAGCGTGGTGCGCTACGAACCTGGTGACCCGAGTTCAATGCCCACTCACGGTCAACACCAGTGACGATTATCTGAATCAGTCATGGGCCTCCCCTAGGTCTACTCAGCCTCAAATTAGTACCTGGTGTCATGTGTAAACATCACCACTGCGGAGACAAAGACGGCCGGGCGTGGTGCTGGCCACCCACCCCCTCGTATGCCGTACCAGCTTTATAGGTGCTCGCTAACAGCACTTGCCCCAATAGTCTGTTCAGGCTATACGGGGATATTTGTCTTTTTGTCTATATAGGGAGCTCACACACATACATTTGTTAGGAGGCATGAATGGGCACAGCACAGGCTCGTGGAAAGATGGGCAGTTGTGGTACAGGAGGACCTAGAGCTGAGTGGACTTGGCAACCGCTGACATCAGTGCTGTCAAAATTAGCCATGGTGGAAAAGGCCCGTGAAAGATTCTACTGGGTGGCTGTTTAGCAGATGCCCTCCAGCAATAATACGAGGCAGAAGAACGGGCGCTCGGAACAATAAGCAGAGCATCAGGCGGCAGATGACCCCTTGACCTGTTCTTGCCAGCAAGCCTTCGACCCTCCACGTGGTCTCAACATGTATCTAGCCCGGTACGAGCACGTGTGTCAGCGATGTCGCTGCCGGCTTATCGGTGAACGACTGTCTGACGCCGCAGTGGCGAGATGTTTACTACCTCGCTTGGTATACAGGAGGTCGTGGGTTCGATCCCGACCCTGACGCCTGCTGCTGTATATTTGGAGTTTGCATGTCTCTTTCCCCATGGGCGTGTGGATTTTTCTTTGGGTCCTCCGGTTTTTCCCTCCGCTTTAAAAATTCACACGCGTTTAGAGTATTTGGCTGCTATAAATTTGCACGTGATAAGCCACTTCGTTGAGCTATCATTTGTGGCCAGGTCACCTGTGATAAAGAGCTGCATAGCTCAGTGGGCCTCACCTGGTGAAATAAAAAAAAGTGTTTAGTGCGGTAATGAAAGACTTTCGAGGACAAAGCGCATGTCGGATAGCTGCTACGCGAACCCCCACGTGACAAAACGCGCGATTTCCCCCCCCCCGCCCTCACCGCTGACTCGTCCGTCCCCCCCCCCCCCCTTAATCGCACCGCGGCGCTGGCAGTTCGAGCTGGGCACGGTGGAGCTGCGCGAGCTGGACGAGCCGGTGACGTTGGTGCGGCGGCTGCTGGACCGCGGGCTGGAGGGCGAGCGCCGCCTGCGACAGCGCAACGACGACCTGCAGCGTGACAACGAGCGGCTCGCCGAGGAGCGCGGGCGCGCCATCCAAGAGTACGCGCCAACTCTCGAAACACCTCCTCCCCCCCCCACACTCCCGCCCCCCCCCCCACACGCGCGTGCCCGCGAGTATCTTGTCTACGCGTGCCCTGAGCCAAATTTAGCGCAATTCCACGTTCCTTTGATGGGGCTGAGTGTTTCCATAGGACAGCCGCTGTTGATTTTGCCACAAAGTGGTGCTCATTTTATCGACACCCACAGCCGCCAGGGTTTGAACTTCTGACCATGAGCCACTCGCTCATATGCTGAGCCACAGTTGTCAACTCTTATTTGCGCAAACGTTAACATCGTTCAATCGATATTTGAAGTTTTCGTGACTGCAGGGATCCATACTCTTTGGTTCTTTCGGTAAAGTCACGTAGGTATAAAATAAATTAAATTAAATCACGACGTTTCAATCGCAACACAAGCAATACAGCAGGACAACTGCTAGTTATTTTATTTTATACCTACGTGACTTTACCGAAAGAGCCAAAGAGTATGTTAACCTCATCTTCTTGGTTCTTTCGGTAAAGTCACATAGAATGGAAATAATAAAATAATAAAAATAAAACATAATAAAATAATGTTTTATTTTTATTATTTTATTATTTCCATTCTACGTGACTTTACAGAAAGAATTAAGAAGATGAATCCCTGCAGTCCCAAAAGCTTTAAATCGAAATTTATGTTAACATCGTTTTTGTAAAAGGTAGAGAAGCAAAGGTTTCTTTGAATCAATGCATACTATAATTATTCATGATTTAAATCCTGCACCCTTTCCTATCTCTCATCTCACTCCACTCTCCACTCCGCACTCTCCTACCGCTCACCTCTCATCCCACTCTACTCCCCTTCTTGCGCTATCTCTGCTCCCGCAACCAAGGCGTTCTGTCAAAATCTCCAGTCAACCTTCGCTCATTGGCAACTTGCTGATTGCCTTAGTGGCAAGTTGCTCGTTGCTTCCTTCCAATTCCCTGCAACTTATTGCCCTGTAGGTGGGTGTCTCATGCACACCGTATCACTCTGTGATCCACAAACCCCAACTCCCAAGTTGCCTGCATTGTGGGCGTTGCAACCACGGCGATTTCACCGAGCACTAAAATAAAGAAAATATCCCCAAAAAAGGTTTCGTGATAAGTTCCTTATGTTCTGCACAATGTGCATTTAATAAAATCCCGGGTAACTTTGGAGAGCGAAAAAAATAATATATACACATTGAAACTTTCCAAGCATAAATTTCACACAGGTGTCTCGTTGTAATATCACAAACGCTGAGCGAATCGTACGATGGAAATTTAATTTGGAGCTCTCTTTCGCTCATATTACCAATTCCCTAAAAAGAATAATTTTGGGACAGGGCCCAGGGTTAGGGTGGCGTTTCCACGGTCCAGCCGCTGGCAGCTCGTGACTGTCCCCCCCCCCCCCCCCGCCGCACATCATCCATCATCGTTACCGCTGGCCGACCAGCCTGGGAGGTTGTAATGACAGCGAAGGCTGAAGGCTGCTGGAATCCCTGCGTGTCACCCCACCAGGCACACTCCCGATTCATTACACACCACCTGCGTTGCTGTACAAGGGCCCCGTTTGACGGAACGTCCGAGTGAGGGGATGTCGAATTTTGAGTGTTGGTTTTATGTGTTTTTGTATTTTTTTCTGTTTCGCCAAGCATGTGCGACGTGGGGCTTGAGCGCAATGCGCGGTGACGTCCGCCGTCGCACAAACGCTCGCGTACGCACGTGAGCGTTTGCGTGTGTCTTTGTGGGGAGCGGCAGTGGAACGGTTAGCGCACCACGCTACGAAACCGGCGACCCAAGCTCAGTTCCCGCTCACGCCCAACACCAGTGACGGCTATTTGAAGCGGTCATGGGCCTCCTCTAGGTCGACTCAGCCTTAAATGAGTACTTGGTGCGATGTGTAAATGTCGCCACTTGGGAGACAAAAGCGGGCGGCCAGGCGGGCAATGCGCTGGCCACCCACCCCCTAGTGTGCCGTGCCGTCCTTCATAGGTGCTACTCGCTCACGGCACTTTCCCCAACAGTCTGCCAATGGTCTTTGCCTTTGTGCGCCTTTGTGCGTCTTTGTATTCTGTCCCGTCCAGGCTGAGGGCGTCCGTGGACAACAAGGATGAGCTGGAGAGGGACCTGTACGGAAAGTTCATCCACGTCCTCAACGAGAAGAAAGAGAAGATTCGGCGGCTCAAGGATACCCTGGATAAGCACGCCGCGGCCCAAGTGCCCCCTCCCTGCGCCAGGTCAGTGTCCAGCCAGGGCTCGCCCCCCGGGGCACAGGTGATTGAGTTGTGTAGGTCAATAAGAAGGAGTATAGTCTGGTCAGGTGATGGGTCGAACCAGGTCAGGGCTTAGCTGGATGGGTTCCTTCAGCGCAGGTAAAACCTCCGGTGCGGTGCGTGAGTTTAGTGTCCGGAGATAATATTATTGCACCTGTTGCCCCTCGGTAAGGAAGGTTGTAATTGAGAGAATAACCAAATGTTTTTGTGTTTAGAATCGCTCTCAAGCAACTTTGCAGTCTCTTTTGTTGACATCTGACACTAAAGTTTCATGTGCGTGTCAAAATAGTAAACGTTGAGTGTGTTGTGTAATCCACGGTTAACGAAACTCATTAACAGGACCGGACTGCTGATGAGAATCAGAACTCGAAGCCAGTCCAGACATTTCCTGCTGATACTAAGTGCAAATTACGATTTGGATTAATATAGTTTCTCAGGACCCAAATCGGATTGTCACTCAATATTTTATTTTACAATATTCCTTCATCACTGATGTTACAAATATTTCCCTTGCAGAACAGACAGTGAATCTCAGTGGGTTGTTATCACCTGTTTAAATAAAGAACACTCGAACCAATCAATAGGTAAGGGTCCGTTCACCGCGCCACACATGTTTTTAGTTCAACATCCTTTGGGCCTTGTGGTGGATCAGTCTTTTCCAAGAACGTTTTTTCAAGCAGGGAAAAACTCTGGATCAATTTGAACTCTTTGAACCTCATCAGCAGAGTCCAGAATATAAGGCGCCGCAGGTCAATGGCCTAAATTGGTGCTTTCTTTCAAGTTACTTTTGCGTGAGGATGCGTGCTCAACCCTCGTCTCTCTGTCAATGTATTACCCAAAATCCACGGACACAGCTCCGCTAATGGGTTACACCGGGTCAGTCAAGCAGAGGTGACTCGGTAATCATTGCAAGCCGGGCGGGTTTGGTGAGGTCGCGAGTTGCCCGGGCAATGGGCGTGAGAATTGTTGGCTTATCGCTTCCGTCCCTGCCATCGCATCGCGGGCCCCTCTTGTCCGCGAGCGACGGGCGACGCGTTAATCGCGCGGCACGCGCCGGGCGACGACGATGACGGCGGCGTCCGTCCCACCGGCGCTTCCGTTGCCGTTTTCGTCGAAGCGCCGGCGGCGTTGTTGGTGGCAGCTCTGCGGCCCGGGCGGCGGAGGGCACGGACGAGTCTGACTACGGGGGCACCACCGACGAGGAGAGCCAGGCCCCGGCGACCGGAACCGGCAACCGGAAGGCGGCGAAAGCCCCGAGCACCGTGTCCGTAACCCAGCAGGAGGGCGAGCGAAGAGGTGAGTGCTGCTGACAGATGCTCGCTGGTTTCCCACGCTTTCTCGCAGCTCCCCCCCCCGCACCCCCCCCTCCACTTCCCGCTCTACCAAACCTGCGTGCACTTAACGCTCACTCACACTCGAGGCTCTGTAATAAGTGACCAGGCTGTTTGTTCACAGTGTGCGGGTGGGGGGGGAGTAGCAGGGTGGGGGGGGGCAGTGCAGTACCTGATGAGCAGATGTTGGATTGCTGGGGACTGGCAAGTCTAATAGAGGGAGTTTGCTATTTGATTGGGAGAGTCATTAATTGAGGTGGTCTAGTGGCCGGGGGAGTTTATAATGGCCACATCAGAGCAACGAGTCCGCTCTGCACAGATCCCGGGTTCAGTTCGGAGGCTGAGCTGCGCCTGATTGAACTGGATTTCTCAAGCATATCGGGTTGATGGTCTGTAAGCCTGGGCAATGACTGCACGGATAAGTCTTATTACATATGATTTGTAAATTAAGCCAGCATAATCCAGCTCTGAGAATATATATTTATTTTTCGTTTAATCTACACGCGGCAAGCATTTTGCTGGGCATATACAAGGTGATGCCCTGAGAGAGAATAACAAGGGCATATCGAAGTGAATTAAGATGCAGTTAATCGATGTTGCGATACGGTTCCATTCTCGCTGTGCAAACATTGTATGGAAATAGTTTTCTCCCGTGCCACGACGTCGGATTGCGTGACTGCAATATATTTCGGGGAGAGAGTGCATTTTCTAAGGAGTCCGTAATTGACGCTGCCTTCACGCGCCGTCGCATTTGGAAGACTTGCTGCGTGCGTCTTAATCTGCCCCAAAGCGGGGGCCAACAGAGGCCCTCTTCATCACGTGCCGCGGACACGTGGAGATCACGGACTAAAGGGAGACCTTGACCTTGTCAGGGGGCGGCGGAGAGTTTGAGGCTCCGCGGTTCAAACAAAAGAAAAAAGCGGCGGAAGCGGCGGAGGCGTTACCGACGACGTGAACTTGCCGCGAAATAGAAAGTAGGTCCACGTTTCCGTCTGCCGCCCGCGGGGGTTGCGTGACGGTCGGCCGGCTGGTGCGTCTCATCCCATCGCCTTCCCGCGGTTCAAAAGTGCGCGCACAGGCGGCCCTTTGTTCGTTTGTGTCGGGGGTGGGACGGGTCCTAGTCCGCTGTCATGACCCACAGTGAGCTGGTGGCGGGGGGGGGGTCACGGCTGACTGACTTTTCGGGCGTGCGGGAGTCAGGGAGGGTCAGAGGGAGGTCGACCGGCGGGGGCGTGCGGCATTATTCTTTGGGCGGCAGGAGATTCTTGGAAGGAGAACGCTTTTGAGTGTCTGGGAGGAAGCTTTTCGGGAGGTCACGGTGGTAAAAATGGACAGAGATCAGAGGAGCGATCGGGACGCGACGAAGAGAAGCGGCTGATGTGCCCTGAGCCGCGGTTCGGCTTCGTTGAGATTAATCCTCACGCGTCTCAAAAGGAGCCGTCAATTTTCCGTCAAGCTCTCTTGCAGAAGAACAAAGCGGCGACCTGAATCGTGTGAAGGTCAGCGACGTAAGCACGGCATTGAAAATAAAATCTCCTTCGGCAGGATGATCATTGCGCATCGAACACGGCGCTTGCTGCTCAGCCCCTGTGGCGGCTGCGTTCCTTGTTCTCCGACACGAGCGCGTGATAATTGTGGCATTGTAAGCGAGCCCGGATTAAGGTTAAAATGAGGACGGCGTCGGAATGAATTCCCACTCGCATTGTCCTGTTTTCTGTCAGCTCTCAACTCTCACCGTTTTTATTTTTTTTCCTTCCCCCCTCCCCTGTCGCGGTCTGTCTGAATAGGGTTTCCTTCCAACTAGCGTTGGGTGAGTCAAACATTTGGATTAAAACAATTTCTTATGTTTCCTTCTGTTATTTAAATAATTTTTGTTGTTTTAGCCACCCATTTTCCTGTGGCTATAACCCAAAGCTGTGTTTGCAGCATTATCACATTCTTGAATGTCCCTCTTGGGAACCATTAGGTTATTTTCTGTTCCATTGTATCCAAGTTCAAGGTGTATGTATAGACACACACGCGCGCGCGCGTGCTCATGTTTGTTTTGCTGGGATTATGAGTTCAATTGCCCATCTGGGGTGGGGTCTGTGGCCCTCCGCTGCTGGAACAATGCTCGCACGGACAACACATCGCCCTCAGACGGGGTGCAGCTGACTTCCTTCGCCGGAGCTGCGTGACCCCCATTTCTTCCCCATCACCGTGTTTTGTGACAACGGGGGTCACGTACGCGCTCCGAAAAACAACGCCAAGCAAAATCGCACTATTTGTCGCAGCCGATGAAAATCGTCCACAGGAATTAATTTCAACATTAAAGTTAGCGTTTTTGTCTTTTTTTTGTTTTCCATCTACGTATCTGTTTATCGCTGTCTCTGTCTCACTCGCCTCGATGCATGAAGTTGCGCCAACCTCGGCGTTTGCAGACTTTTACAGACGCATTTGCTCCTTTGTGAGTTCCGCGTTTTCATGCTGCTAATTTATATCGCAGAAAATATACCGCAAACGGCATTGCCAGTCGTCCCTGCTGCCGAATTTGTCCACCGCGTTGCAGTGCGGCGTGGGGCGACGGGGGCCCACCTGTGTTTTGCGTTCACATGCGAAAAGGGGGAGGGGGGGGGGAAGTGTCTAAAAAAAAATATCCCACAACCGCCCTGGAGGTTTGCACATCCCAGCGGACGTCAGCAAAGAAAATATTCCGCGTGTTTTTTTTACCTGACTTGCCCATGGCGAGTAGGGGAAAGAGGAACGTTCTCCCCAGGGATTAATTAAATAAGAAAGTACGTTTCTAATTGTTTACCTAGACGGTTTTTTTTTTAGACTGACAAATGAGAACATTAGTCGCGGAGCCTTTGCCACTGTTCACGCTTGTCCCGAGGTGCCCGAACGTTTCCGCGGAAAGCGAAACAACAATGATTCCGCAGACAGGTCAGGATGCGCTGCCAAGGCTGGTGCGCACAACAATAGACATTGCCACAAATTATTTAACGAACTCTTCTCTCACTTGGCTACCCCCGAGGTCGTTGCCGGCGACACTGCGGCGTGATTTACTGCTTTGGCGTTTCGCGGTTTTTATTTACGGAATCGCCCCTGGCAACCGATTTTCCCCTCTCTGTTATTATTATTAGTTGCCTTTTAAATGATCGTAATACAAATATTTTTGTTACATCTGGTATTTAATTACTGGAAATATCCGAGGGGGTCGAAGGTCAGAGAGAAGAGGTTCCGCTCGCCCGCAGCCGGCGGGGACCCACGTGCCATCGCGGTGAGGGTGAAACTACCCCCCCCCCCCCCACTCGCGTCTGGGATATCCTCCCGCTTCTTCCTGCTCCTTACACCCCCTTTCACCCCCGACCCAGCCCCCCCCCCCCCCCCACCGTGCCGTGCTGTGAAAATTAACGCCGCAGTGCAGAAATACAACAACAGCCTCTTTTCTTCCCCAGATTCCCCGCGGCTCGTTCAAGGCTCATTTTCGCACACTCACTTCTCCGGAGTGACGTTTTTCACTGGAGGGGGGAGGGGGGAGGGGGGGAGATTGATTTATGATTTATTTTTGCGTGTCTTTTTGCATTACCCGCAAGAACTGTTCCTAAGTGAAGTGTTCGTAAATGTTAGTTGGCATGCGATGGCGCGTCTATCGGAATCGTTTATTATTACGCTCGCGATGCGTGGATTGAATCGCCCGTGCGTAAGAGTCGATCATTTTATATTCCTGAACAGCAGTTTGCTGGATATACTAAACTAAAACTAAACAATTCTTTTTTATTTTACAAGGTAAGGCCCACTGAGCTATATAGCTGTTTTTCAGAAGCGACCTGGCCACAAGTGATAGCACAACGAAGTGGCTTATCATGTGGGTCGGTATCGAACCCAAGGCGAGGGAGTTAACAACTCACCACCGTGGCACCCATACACGCATACCTCTTGAGCAGGCCCAGCTGTGCTTATATCTGAAGTTGTGCTCTTGCATCAGAAATTGCCTCATTGTGTGTGCCCCCCGCTACACCCTCCCGGTGTAACGTTAGCATGCGTCGCTTATATCAGAACTGTACTCATACACAGTGTGCTTTTATACAGCTTCTACAGTAATGGATTAATGCGATCCCCACAGTCGTTAAACACTGCTGAGTTCACCACAATGTAAAAATAATAATAATCAGTTCTTGAATCACAAACCCCTTAATCGCGTCAATTAATCGAATCGCCGAGGATGAATCGTTGCAGCCCAACAAGATTGGTATATCATGAATAATAGAATTGTGATGGTTGTTAGAATCGGATATTTAGGATTCATGACGATTATCAAAAAAATTCAAATATTTTCCGCTTGCAATTATGTCCGTATGAATCAAAGGCAAATGAACAAAGGAGAAATCGCAAAACAATGCAAAGCGAGACGCTGATAGAGAGTCGTGAATTGCTCACACGCCAACATAACCATTAGTGCCAAGTACACTTTAGCGGCACCGTGCAAGTCCTTTTTTTTCCTGCTTTCCGTGGCGCCTGTTAAACACGTCTTCAAACGCGTCCACCGATAAAAAGTAATAACAGGACCCCATGGCGCAGGGCGCAAAAGCGAGGCGGCCACCTGTGCATGTGGGCGTCCCGGGGCTCGCGATCGGAACGCCCGACCACCGCACCCGCGGGGACGTCTTTCCGTGGAAGCTGAGCGACGGGTCGCGCGCCCGCTCGCATCTCGTACTCCAGATAGAGCCGTCGAACCTGAGACTTCTCACGTCCCACTGGGCCCAGCGCAATAACCAATGACCACGCGCACACTGGCCCACTGCAATAACCACTGGGCCAGTACAATAACCAGTGGCTCAATACAATAACCACTGGCCCACTGCAGTAACCACTGGGCCAGTTTCCACAATTGTGGGCTCTGTGCACAGAGCCTCCAGGGAATTCCTGCAGAGAGGAACCCAAGTGCACGGCCCGTCCTCTGCAAAGTGCACTTTAAACGGCCTGTGATGTCATCGTTAACAAAAGTGAGCGGCCGCGTTCCCAAACGACATCTGAGATATCCGCGGTAATATTTTAATTGCAATAACATTGCCTTCTCAGTTGCGTTTAATATGGTTGTAAAATTATCCATGGATTGGCATTATTTGCTTTGCTAGTGATTCACGCACCAAAGTGCACATATCAGTTTTGATGATTTTTGACACATGTATCTTGTACGTAACCGATCCATGGAAACCCTGCTGCCACCCATGGAATCCTACATGATGCACCACATCATCATAGGCCATGATCAGTCCACTGCTGGATGACGACGGCCTCCCCGAGCCACGTAACGATCCCCTCTAGCCCCCCCGCACAAGGCGTTCTCGTCGATCCGTGTCCTCTCTCCCGGGGCGCGCTGCCTCCCTTGGCTGCCACTCCGTCGTTATTACCGACCACCGGCAGTGTCGCCACGATGAAGGTGGGCATCGCTTCTCAGCGTGTTCCACGCTCGATGCAACATTTGTTTAAACTCTCAAGCGGCTCCTGGGACTCGGGGAAATAAACACATCACGAGTAGGGGCTGTTTTGTTGTCGCGCAGGTTTTTTTTTGTTTTGCCCTGCATTGCTCCCGGGGGGAGGAGGAGGAGGAGGGGTGGGAGTTTCGGTGGCCGCAGTCGGATGAGGAGCAGCCACCAGTGACCCCTAGGACAGGTTTCGCACCATTTTTCTTCTGCCCTTTCCTTCCCTGGGCCCGGCTCTTGATCCCAACGGAGAGCAGACCACCCTGGCTGCGGTGTCGCATCTCAATATTTACACATCTAACAGGACCGAAGAAGCGGTGGGTGGGGGGCCGTTTGGCGGACGAGAGAGGAAAAACAAAAATTAAAACGAACGCGCCACATGGTTTAGAGGATTCACAAGCTGCCGTTGTGCATCTGTGCGATCGCAATTAAAAGAGCGGCACGCGTGCCCCGTGGCCAGCGCTCGACCCATACCTCCCCCCGCCCCTGTGTCTGTGTGAGGCCCGAGACGCACACGTGTGTGGCCCACGTGCGTGCGTACATGCGCGCGTGTGCGTGCGTGTGGGCGCGCAAGCCCGAGCATCCCGTGCCCTTGTGTGAACGACGGACAAGGGGGGGAGGAGGGGAAGCGTGCTTGGCAGGTCATCGCGTAACTCTACAAGTCGTTGGACGCGATGGGTAAATTTTTTTTCCGCGTTAATCCTTCTGCGAACTTCGCCCACGCCTTTCATCTGAGGGAGCGTCATCCCAGGACACTGTGTTCTCTCCACCGCCTTCGTCTTTGACGAGGTGACCCCTCGTCACCCGCTTCGATCGAGCTCTTGCCGCTTCTGTCCTCCGCAGGTGCCGTCACGGCTTTTGACCCGTATGACGACGACGACGACGACGGCGCCAGAGTCGGCGGAATGGACGCAGGCGCGGGCCCCACCAGGAGGCAGCGCAAACGACGGGGCCATCAGCAGGTGACCGTGACGGAGACGCCAGCAGCGGCGGTGCTGCCGCCGCCCGCCAAAACCAAGCCGGCCAATGAGTACGTAGAGGAACACGTCCGTGTGTGTTCCGTGCGTTCCGTGCGTGCAGTCTGCTCAGGTCTTCAGTTAGGTGGGCAGGCGGGGGGCGGAGTGGGAAGAGTACACAGTGAAATAAAATAAGACTCGCGAAACAACCCACTCGTTCTCTCTCTCTCTGTCCCACGTGATGGTCCCTTGGCATCCTCCTGTTAGGCTGCGGTCGTTCTGCTCCTCGGGATGCGATCGTCTGGAGCGCAAGTTGGGTCCGACGCACCTGGCACGGTTTATGTTTTCCAGCGTCTGCCCACGACGCGACACCCCTAATAAGCTGGCCCACGTTACGAGGCCACTACGTTCATGCTGGCTCATCGTCCCAACACAAACAGCAGCGAAAGCATCTCATCTTCCTCCCTGTCTCTCTCTCTCGTGTTTACCGTTACCCAGATTTTGTGCTGAGCTTGCAGCTGACGACAAAAGGTCACCATCTGGCTTTCATTATTAGATTGTCCGGTATTGAACCTGCTTAATACCGCGTCTCTTCTGTTTATATCGGCCTCCCGTATTTGTTGTTGTGCTCAAGGCACATCTCGCGGCCGTGGGTGCCATGGTGGCGACATGTTAACTACCTCGCCTGGTATAGAGGAGGTCGTGTGTTCGATCCCGAACCTGACACCTGCTGTATATATTTGGAGTTTGCGTGTCTCTCTCCCCGTGGTCGCGTAGATTATTCTCCGGGTCCTCTGGTTTTACCCTCTCCACGTTTAGAATCAACGTGCGTTTATACCATTTGGCCGATATACATTTCTACACGACAAGCCACTTGGTTGAGCTATCATTTGTGGCCAGGTCGCTTCTGAAAAAGAGTTATACAGCGCAGTGGGGCGGTACCTGGAAAAGATAAATAGTTTAGTTTAAAAACTTTAACTTCGCCAGTGGCTAACGTCACCCTCGCGATTGCGGGGGCTCCGGCGCACGTCGGTTGCTGGCAATTTCGACTCGAGGCCTCTTTAACATCGCTTCACTTCGGATTAATTCCATCGGTGCTTTATACATTCAATTTTTTTAGCAAAGTCTGCTTTTTTGTTGTCGCGATATTGCAGGTGACAGATGATGGAGATTCATTAAAGAATTCGGTTTTGGTCTTCTGCCCCCCCACGCACACGCCAACGCCGACTCTCACCGTGCTGTTGAATAACTTTGAAAGCCAGGTCCTCTCAGCCTGAAGTGTGCTTTTGCGCAAGACCTCGTGGGAACAGGTTTTTAAATCGGTCTGCATTTTTATTTTAAAACACGCACACCCCGTGTGTGTTTATGCTAAGTCATAAACTCGCCCAGAAGCTGGCTGACACAAAGCACGTTACCCCCCCCCCCCCCCCCAGCCAACGTGAAATTAACCGTGGCGCTTATGCGGGCGTAAAGCAAACAAGCAAACAACTGAGGGGGGCATGCATGGACCGAGAAGGATTGTGGGAAGAATGTGCTTCCCATTAGTCTGAGGAAACCGCCCCCCCCCCCCCATTTCCCACATGGCTGTTCGCGAAGCATCGCACACCTGAAAACGGTAAACGAGAAACGACGGCAGATGATTTGCGTTTGCTGACAATGTCCGTTGGACCGGTGATGTCATTTCCAAAGGAAACCCACTTAACGTTCCCGTCTCTTTGAGTCACTGTGAAGGGTAACAGGTGACGACAGACTGATCGCAGCCTTTGATTTGCCCGAGCTGTCGCAATTTTTCCGATTCTCTGCCCCAGCGTTCATGCTCAGGAGCCCGTTGCTTTCATAGAGCCGGCGTATCGGCCGCTTTTTCCAAGCTGGAGCTAGGTGTTCTTTCTTTCTCTCCCAGCCGTTCACCATCCCACTGCTGGCAAAGGCATGCCCCATGACGTCTTCCACCCCTCAAGATCTCGCGCCACCTTGATCATTTGCATTACTCATAATCTTCGGATCTCGCGCCGCGAGATAATGCTCTGTCTTCCTGTCCTGATGTTATCTATTAGATATGCTGCCAAGCTCTAAATGAATTGTTTCACTTTGCAAATGACATGTGTTCTAGTTTTAACTATGGCATTATAATTTATAATCGTTTTATTCCATCCTCGTTCCATTAAAAACCCTCCTCTCCCTTGCTCTTTATCATACTTGTGACTGTATCACTTGTTCTTGAGTTAGGGACCAGGATAATGCTGCCTAGACCATTTGCTGGTAAACTACAAGAATCCGTTATTTTTATTTTCAAACCCACTGTTAATTTTCTCTTCGTTACGCTTTTTCAATTCGCACAATATTCTATCCAAGTACCGTTGATTATCATTCGTGCCAACGTGTACAGGCTGGCCAAATTGGCCACTTGCACACTGGCGCAGTGCAATAACCACTGACCACATACACACTTGCCCAGTGCCTTTACTACTGGGCCAATGCAATAACCACTGGCTCAGTGCAGTAACCACTGGCTCAGTACAATAACCACTGGGCCAGTTCCCACAATTGTGGGCTCTGTGCGCAGAGCCTCCAGGGAATTCCTGCAGAGAGGAACCCAAGTGCACGGCCCGTCCTCTGCAAAGTGCACTTTAAACGGCCTGTGATGTCATCGTTAACAACAGTGAGCGGCCGCGTTCCAAAGCGATGTCTGAAATATCCGTGGTAATATTTTAATTGCAATGACCTTGCCCTCTGAGCTGTGTTTAATATGGTTGTAAAATGATTCGTGGATTGGCATTGATTCCTTTGCTCGTGATGCTCGCATCTAAGTGCGCGTGTGAGATTCGATGATTTGCGACTCATGTATCTTGTACTTGACCGATCAATCCACTGCTCGATGAAGGCTCTGTCCGAAGCACTCGCCCACTTCGCTTATGAACTCGCGATGCGACAAACTGATTTCTTCGCCGCATTTCCCCAGTGGACGTGCTCTCTGGCCTGGTTCCCTCCCTTGGCTGTCACTCCTTCGTTAGTCTCGACCACCGACCATCGTCTCCTCGGGCAACGTGCGCTGCCCAAAACCCACTTAGTGCTGTCAGCGGGCAACATGATGTCTCTAATGGCAGCGTGTTCTCTGATGTGCGAGTTCCTCTGGCTCTCTCCTGCATCTCTTCACGCTTCTTTGTGCGCTTTTCAGGAAGCTGTTCCTTTTTATTTATGAACGCAGACGACTCGATTCGCGAATCGAGTTGTGACCCCCGATTCGAGACAATCCCTCAATATGCGAAGGAGAATTAATATTTTTTACATTATCAACAAATACAAACGCGTCTGCCTTTTGCTTGAAGCAAATGAGTATCAATTAAGACTGCCATCAAAGCTGTCATCTAGACATGATTGTCACCTGAATTGCAATGCATGCTGGGTCAATAGGCAACCTATGCAAGGGGAAAATATATCTTGTGCACGCAGTACACACAGACACACGCATACATACACATACAGACACACGCATACGCACGTGTACACAAACACACAGAGGTCCCTTTATGCCCCGATGGGACGAACCCTTACACGAGGTCAGGATCGGTTTTCAAAAAAAGCCCGTGTCACGCTCTGCACGGCTCGGCACTTATTTCGTCCCAAGTTCAGCTCAGGTAAAAGTGGGGAGCCCAGAGTTATTAGGGCTCTCTTTGCGCGAACAGGAGTTGATGTGTCCGTGCAGCCCAGATGTAAAGTCATAATAATAGAAAGAATATGCAGCCCTTTGTCAATCCACTGCTGAATGAAGGTCTCCCCACGTTTTGTCGAGTTTGTAGCAGTCATCGGGCCGCACCTTATCTTTCGGTGTTTAATTTTCAACGACGACGGCACAGAGACACATTATAAACAGGAAGGGGGGGGGTAACACGTCCTCCAAAAGGGGTAATGCAATCGCGCACGATGCTCGTGATCCCCAGCTGTGGTCCAGCGAGACAGAGACAGACGGTCGGGAGAGGGAGCGGAAGGGAAAGAGGAGGATAAGAAAAAGAAAAAATGGATTGTGGACAAAAAAATATTTTACCATACTTATGAGTAGAAGAAGGAGAATGTGTCTTGACTTAAAGCTTTCATGACTGCAGGCATTCATATTCTTTGTGTCTTTCGGTAAAGTCGTCATCAGGTGGAGAAGATGATGACAATCTCTTGTGTTTCCATCGAAACGTCGTAGTTTTTTGTGATTTTCTTTGAAGCTATCTACTTGACTTTACCGAAAGACCCAAAAAATAAGGAGAATATGTATTTATACTGGAGGAATCCGATGAGTTATGAAGCTCTTTTTTACACATGTCCAGTGTGGGTCACTAAAGCCAGGGTACAGGGCCCTCGGACCAGTTCAGATATCACTGTCACCACTGATGTTGTCCTTGGCCGGGAATCGAACTTGGGTCGCCGGGTTCACGGCGCAGTATACTAACCTCTGCACGACCGCTGAACCCCACCAGCTACTACATGGCTGCATGTTTAAAAAGCAAAGAATCCCCCAAAAGCTGGAGAGATTACGTTAAAGATGCAACAGTGGGCTCATTGATTGTGCGCGCGCAACATGCATCTGCGTTGGTGACAGCGACATTTGGACAGCAAACTGCTACCATACCTGGAAACAGGCCGCGGGGGCAGCATGAGAGAAAGGGAGAGAGAGGGGAAAAAACGTTCAAGAAAAACAAACCTCTGTTCTTCTCGAGTATGTGTTCTCTCCCCCCCAAGCGAAGCCCCCCTTCAGTGTTACAATAAATGCACTGTGTATACATTTCAGCGTGACGCACGGCGTTTAAACAAAAAAAAAAATTAAACCCAGAGCGCAAAAAAAAAAACGAAAGAAAAAAATCACCAATCGCTGATCGGTCCGCGGAGGCCGCTCACTCGGAGGAGTTGCACGCCGCGCAGACACGACATAATTGTTTCCAGCCTTGGGGGGCGGGGGGGGGCAGCCCTTGTGACCGATGGCCCCCCCTCACAACCACCGCTGCCATCCCTCCCTTAACACCCCGTCCCTCTCCGCCCCCTTATCCCCCCAATCATCTCCTACTAACCCCCCCTTTCCGCCACCCATCTC